CCTTCCTCTTCCCGCAGGACTTGATGCGAGAGGAAGGCAGCGGCAGCAGGGGCTGAAATGCGGTGACACCAGACCAAACCTAGCTCTGTGCCATCTCTGTGCCATCTCTGTGCCATCTCTGTGCCTTGTAAATAGCGTCATCTCCGGGGATTTCTTGACACTCTGCTGAAATTAGCACCTGTAAAAAGAGCAGCTGCCAAAGCAGAATTTAAACAAGATGGGGAGAATACCAGGAGGAAGAGGGCAGAGAATGAGAGAGCTCTTGAATCACTTCCTACCATGCAGGCACCTGCCTGGAAATCAGCTCCCATCTCCTCTAGCCCTGCTCAAAGCTCACATTACTGCAGCAAGATGCCCACAGCTGCCTCAAGGGCTGGGCACTGTGCCTGCCCTGCCAGACACAGGCCTGGCCCCCAGTGCAGGTGCCCACTTCGCTTGTTCTCCCAGCAGAGCCACCCCCAGTCCCCAAAATGCCACCACTCACTAAAACAGGCTGGAGAAATACAGAGTGGGGATGCCCCTGGCCAACCAGCCCTGGCCGCCTCTTGAGCTTGAGTGGGTATCCCAAGTCCTGTGCAGCATCAGGGAACGTTGCAAGCAGGCAGCAGCAACCATGGATTGCTTTTTTTCCTTTTAATTGGGGTTAGCAGGTGGCACATGCAGTTCATTACAAATGCACAGGAATGAAACAACTCTCCTGGCAGCTAAAATGACAGGGAAATGTGGGGTTTGGGATGGGGAGATGCAAGAAGGTCAGGAAGGACCATAAAGAGCTGTGGCAGCTGAGGCACAAAACCCTTCTGTTTGCAACTGGCAATGAGGCACTGACAGATAAGAGAAGTGGGGGAAGTGGTGTGGGGTGGAGGCTGTAATTCTGGCCCTCCAGGGCTGGCACTGAGGGTGCTTCCCATGTGGGCATGGATGGCTGTGAAGGCTGCAGAGACTGAGCTTAGGGAGGACCTGACACCTTCCTTGTGGAGGATGCACCAAAAAAAAGGAAAAAAAATGGGAGGGAAAAAAATCAAATTAAATGCTTCTCTTTATTGTTCACCCACTCCTTATTAAAGCATTTTTCTCTAACAGCTCTTGTCCTTTGCTTCTGCACTTCCCCCCTGAGTGAATGCCTGTGTCCTTGCCTGCCCCATCCTAGGACAGTGACAGGGGATGTGTCTGTGAGCAGCTGGGGTGACAAACTCTGCTTGTGCAGCTCCCTGGTGCTCTCCTCACACCCATCAGCCTCTTGCAGTCTGGGGCTCCTGCCTGAGCTTGGCCCAAAGACGGCTCTGGGGAAGGCCATGGCAGTGGAGAGGCCTCACTGGTGGCCGCTGCAGGGTCCCTGGAACCTGACCATGCCGTGCCAGGTGGGAAGCACAGTGGGAAGGAGGTTTGCAGTGGGGTGGAGCAGTAATTAGCCATGCCCAGGTAGTGAGCACATCTCACTGATGAAGTTATCTCAGAGGTGCCAATGGCTGGAGACCCAACAAGGCATTCATGTCTTTTTGTTCCCATGAGGGAGACACTGGCCACCTGTTTTACAAGGCTTTTTGTTCTACTTTGGTGCAGCAATTCTCTATCTCAGCTTCAGTCTGGCCCCAGTCCCTCCTGCCATTCCCATCTGATGGCACAAGGATGGCCCCAGTCCCTCCCTCCCTGCTGGCTCTATGGTGTGAGAATTAGGTGCAAGATGTGGAGATAATCCTAATTTCTTAAAACCTGAAGTGTAAAGTTCTCTCCTAAAGCCAGCAATGCATGTTTTCCTGCCATGCACTCAAACACAGTTTTTCATTGATTAGTTCAGAACAAGCTTGCTTTACATGCAGGCGTCCCACACTGCCCTGCCCTGCCCTGGTGAGCTCCTGGGCTCTGTACTGGAAACTGTCTGGTGTGCAGCCATTGGCTTCATCTTGGTGCCCCTCTTTGGTCAGTGCCACAGTGCCCCTGGGGCTGGTCAGTGTCCAGAGAGAGCCCAGGGGAGCAGCAGGGTGAGCCAGCAGCAGGGTGAGCCCCACCTGTGGAGCTGTTCCTGAGGGCCCAGCAGCACTGCTTGGGGAGGACAGGTGCTCTAAATTTGCTTGTCCAGGGACATTATGACTGTCCTGAGCCTGCAGCAGGGAAATCTCAGTGTCTGAGCTACTCCAGCATCCTGTGGCATTAAGCCACCTTGTGATTGAGGTGATGTGAGCAGCCTAGAGACAGTGACGTGCAGGGAACACAGGTGCTGCACTGTGCAGTGGGGGCACCAATGCTGATTATGGGGTGTCTTCTGCCCCCTCCCCTTCACCCAGAAACAACCATTTCACCTGACTGCTTGGGAGCAAGCCCTGCAGGAGCACCTCTGTGTGCAGAGGTGAAGTGCAGAAGTAATTTTGTAGTGCAGTTTAAAGAGCTGAAGGAACAGGGAACGGCCAGGGGCATTTATCTGACCAGCCATCATGCACTTCCTCCTCCCACAGCCCTGCTCCTGCCCAGGGCCATCTTACACCAGCTGCAGGAGGCCAGGAGGAGCCTTGCAGACCTTGGAACCTGGAATGAGGTGTTGCACCACCACATCTTTTGGCTCAGCTTGTGGCCCCCTCCTGCTTGTGTACACAGTGCACAGTTCATTGCTCTTCTACATATTTATGTATCATTCTACATATTTATGTACCATTTCTCTAAAATAGTTTTTCACCCACCCTAGTATTTTTTACAACCTTTGAGCATTAAGAGGCCTGGTTCAAGTTCTAAATGGTCAGATGTGGGAGTAATAGTTTTTCTCTCTCTCCCTATCAATTTATCTGGATGGCTCTTCTGAACTTCTTCCAGTCCTGCACTTCTTTGCAAGAGGTGAAGGACTCTGAGCTGTACTGGGAGCAGCACCCCTGCCCTGCTGCCGCAGCAGGCATTTCTGCTCTGCTTTTGCCATCCCCTGATGGCAGTAGGTGGAAGGCCCAGCAAAGGCCTTCTATAAGGGGTTTCTATACCCTCAATGCACCTGTGGCTCACGGGGCAGTGGCAGCGTCCCCAGGGTGCTGTTCTGGATGCAGCACATGTGGTAACATTTCCAAAAAAGCAAGGTGACAACTGATGCAGAGGTGCTGCTGCCAGCCTAGCGACCAGCTCAGATCTGGAAAAATTATTTCCTATTCCAGTGCGGCCCGCAGCTGGAGCAAAGTGAAGCCCTTTTGGCGTCCATCACAAAGCTGGCAGGGCTGCCACGGCCGCGCGGGGCTGGAGGAACCCAGCGCTGCCCAGGGGCTGCCCGGTGCGCCGGGAGACGGCTGGGGGCAGCCGCAAGGTGATGCGTGAGGAGCGCAGCATCCTGCCATCCTGCTGCTTCCCATGCCGCCTGCGCGGGGGCGGCGCGGCCGGGGCTGCCCGGGAGCGGGGATGGGAGCGGGGCTGAGCGCGGGGATGAGCGTGGAGATGGGAGCAGGGAAGGGAGCATGGATGGGAGCGAGGATGGACGCGGGGATGGGAGCGGGGATGGGAGCCAGGATGGACGCGGGGCTGAGCGCGGGGATGGGGCAGAGCGCGGGGATGGGGCTGAGCGTGGGGATGAGGCTGAGCTCAGGGATGGGGCTGAGCGTGGGGATGGGGCTGAGCGCGGAGCTGTGCGTGGGGTTGGGGCTGAGCGTGGGGATGGGGCTGAGCGGCGCCCCCGCCGCCGGGGCGGAGCGCGGAGGTTCCGCCAGCGCGGATTGGCCGCTGCGGGGGAGGGAGGGCGAGGGATGCTCCGCGCCGCCGCAGGTGCCGCGGTCCCGCGCCGAGCCGAGCCGAGCCGAGCCGAGCCGGGCTGAGCCGGCTCGTGCAGCGGAGCGCCTCGGAGCTGCTGCCCCGCGCCCCGCGCCGGGAGCGGCCCCGGCACTGAGTGGCGTTGCGGACGATGCCGCGGCGCGCCCCCGCGGAGATCACCGCGCTGTAACACCACCCCCCTCCCTTCCTCTTCCTCCTCCTCCCACGGGGCCGGGGGCGCCGAGCGGGCGAAGAGGCGGCAGGCGCGCCTTGCGCGGGGCGGGGGCCGCTGCCGCCCCCTGAGCATCCCTCCCTCCCTCCTCCCTGCCTCCCTCCGCCCCTCCGCGCCGCCTCCCTCCCTCCCTCCCTGCCGGCTCTATGGTGTGAGGGCAGCGATGCACAAGCACCACCACTGCTGCAAGTGCCCCGAGTGCTACGAGGTAACGCGGATGGCGGCCCTGCGGCGCATGGACCCCCCCTCGTACGGCGAGTGGCAGCACGAGCAGTACGGCTACGGCGGCTACGGCTCGCAGACCCTGCCCGCGCCCGGGGGGGCCGCGCCCGCCGCCCGCGGCAAGGCCAAGCTGGGGCCCCCCGCCCGCGACCCCGCCGCGCTGAAGCCGCCGCCGCCGGCGCCGGGCAAGAGCGCGGCCAAGGTGAACGGGAGCGGCCCGGGCTGGTGGCCCGAGTGCACGTGTTCGAGCCGCGACTGGTACGAGCAGGTACGGGCTAGCCCCGGGACGCGGCTCCCCGGTGCGGGACGCGGCGGGGCGGGCGGCGCTCGGGGTGACGCGGGGTTCCCGGCGGCTCCCGGCTCCTGCAGCATCACCCCGGGGGCGTGAGCAGCCGCCGGGGATGCCGGGGATGGGTACCGGCGGCGCGGCTCGGGTCGGGTTGGCGTTGCCGTTGTTCGGGCTGGATGCTGCGGTCCTGCCCGGCGTGGGAGCCCGGCACCGGAGCAGCTTTCCCGGGGCCGAACGGGGCCAAATGGATCTTGCTTGGCGCCAGGTGGTCGTCGGGCGTTGATGTATTTTGGACGCCCCAGCTGAGGTGCTCGCCGCTCGCGGTGCCTGAAGCCCTGGCAGCACCAAGGGCATCCCGTCGGGCTGTGTTTGGCAGGCACGGTGCGTGCTGCCCGCTGGGCAGCCTCGTGGGTTCGCGGTGTTGCTTGCCAGCGCTCCCAAACTGTCACCCACTCTCCATTGAGTTGTGGTTTCCTCGCTCTGCTGCTACGTCCCTGCTCCCCGAGATTATTACGTAACCCTGCTCTGGTCGCTGGCGTGCTGTGTGCATTCTGCCCCATTTCACTGCCTCCATTTCTTCCCACACATTCATTTTATTAGTGTTCTCCAGGACCCATTCTGGGGCTGTGTCTCTCTCCCCTAAATAGAGAGACCAGTCTTGTTTTGAACCCACAAGCCAGCTTAGAAAATGGTTGGATCTTTTTGCAAAGCATTAAAATGGAGGCTAGACCCTGCCTGAAAAACAATTTACCCTGCTTGAGAGAAAGGCATTTCACTTTGCTTCTTCTGCTTCTTTCATTCATTATCTTCAAACCTCACATGATTTCTTATTGATCCTTCTAATTATTATTTCAAGATGCTGTAGCAGGCAGACACACGGGAATCAATGGGAATTCTCTCCTCCTCTGCTCTCGGCAAACACAACCCTCTTCTTCCCTTCCTCTGTTTTTTCTTCATTACTGTCTGTCTGTAGCTCTGGTTGAAATAATTAGATTCATAGCTGATAGCTCAGATTATATTTACAGAAGGCACCAAAAACTCCAGCCACCTTCCTATGAGCCTGGTCCTGCTTTCTCTCTCTTTGTATCAAAATCAGCCTCAGTTCTTTCTTGCCTGCTGATTCCTGGCAAGCATTCTTCCATCTTTCCTCCACTATCTCTTTCCTTCCCTCCATCCAAAGCAGCAAGCTGGGGGAGCAGAAAATCGAAGCATGTTTGCTCCCTCCTTTCTGCTCCTGCTTGCATGAAAGGTCCGGCCCAGTATTCCTGGTAAGACGATTGCAAGCAGCGTGAGAAGGAAGTGATGCCAGCTGCATTGCTGCCGTGGCAGCCTGGGCAGGGGAGCCTTTCATGTTTTTGCAATGGTGGAAGAGAAATCATTGTCTCTTTGTGGTGCTGCCATGGAGCTTGGGCTGCTCGGAAAGTCCGCGTTGGGAATCTCTGCTCTGCCTTTGCCTTTCTGATCATGTTTAAAAAACAAAAAAAGAAAGGAAAATCAAAAGCTCCTCACGGCATTGCAAGCAACAGAGGATGCCAGTGTTTGAGGCTGTGTGAGCATAGCAGGGTCTGCATGTAGAATATGACGTGTGTGGTGTGTGCAGTGCCTGTATCAGAGCAGGCAGCCGC